AGTCCGAATCTCCGCTGTTCATATGGCTCATGTATGTAGCGCGGCGGGGTGAAGCCAGAGAGCGCCTGTCTGCTTGCTGGTTATTAGCATTGCTCAAAAAGTTTGGCGAGCGATGGCCGCTGAACGACCCGTCAAAGATGACGCGCGAAAAACATTTTTCGTATCTGATTATTCCTCTCGTCGAGAAGATGATTGAGGACTCGAGCCCAACATCAGAGCATGCCAAAAAGGCCAGTGCCATGAGTCAGGCTGCCAGAGATGAGCTGCGCCTTGTGCTAGAACGCTCACCAATCGTTCTTGCAGAGCTTGTTACTGGAAATAAAGCGCTCCAAACGGCCGCGGTTCATTCTCGGATTCTACCAACTCTGATACAGATTTTGAAAAAGTCGTTCGACATACCGGCGACGTCGTCAAAGCCCCTTTGGCAGCCGAAGCCAATATCTCACGAAGTCATGGATCCAAATATCGATCATGCTTCATCGACCTTGGGTCGAGCTGGGCTTAATCCAGATGTCCTGCATGCGTTCAAGTATCGAGAAAGCGTTTTGTTGGCGTTAGCGGCGATGGCAGGTGACCAAGACTCATTGAGAAAGATGGTGATTGAGATGGGTGCGGCAACGCATATCATTGAAGCTCTAGTCCCGTATAACGAAAACAGTGAACCAGGAGCATCGTCCTCGCCAAAGGATGGCAACCCTGACGCTGTCTTGATCGCTGCATGCAAGCTCACGCGGTCATTGTCAAGATCGGTCAGCGTTCTCCGAACGAGTCTCATTGACCACGGTGTTGCACAGCCAATCTTTGAGCTCTTGACACATCCAAATGTAAAGGTGCAGATTGCAGCTACGGAGGTCATTACCAACCTGGTATTGGATGTGTCACCTATGCGGACTGTAAGCGATTCCCGGCACCACTTGCTTCCAAGCTAACGATGAGTAGGAGATTCTTGAATCCGGAGTCCTGGGCACACTCTGCGAACAGTGTCGGTCTGCTAACTTTGACCTCCGCTTCGGCAGTCTCTGGGCTCTCAAGCACCTGTGTCTTGGATTGCCTCATGCTATGAAGATACAGTGTCTAGAGGAACTTGGAGTAGGCTGGCTTGTCCAAGTGCTCAATGGGGAGCCATCCAAGCCTGCCATGGGTACACCAAATGCAGCAGGGGAGCAAGTCGATATCCTCAACGCTGTCGAAGAGCCGCACATGGACGTGGACGACGAATCAGGTTCTGAAGACGACGATGATGCGATGACGGAAAGCATACCATCGATGCGCCGACATCAACGCCATGGCCCTCGGTACACGAGCGCAACAAACATTCGAGATCGACTACAGCAGATTAAGAACGATGAGCAAGACCATCGACTGAACGGCGAGCGCGACGATATCCGCATACAAGAACAAGCACTTGACTTTATCCGCAACTTTGTGTCCGAGGATAAGGCCTCTGGCGAGATGATCGACCACCTGCTCAAGACCTTTGGCCACAGCCGCTTCTTCGAGATTCTCGACTCCAAAATCCGCCCCAAAAACTCTTCCGCCTCAACCTCATCATCCCAAACTCAAGCCAGCCCCAGCACCCCAAGCTACTGGCCCAGCAGCACCCACCGCCCGCCCTTTTTGTCCGCCACAACACCCATGGGCCAGCCCAACTGGACCAGCTACCCAGCCTCCGAGCTCATGCTCGCCACAATCTTCATCCTCATCCACCTCGCCAACGGCCGCCCCCAGCATCGCTCCTTGCTCATCTCACAAACTGCGCTGATGCAACACGTGCTCCCGCTGTTTACGCATCCCCGCCGCGACATTCGTGTAGCATGCGCTTGGATGCTGCACAACCTTGTCTGGGTCGAAGATCACACGGATGAAGCGGCGACACGGGAACGCGCGCTGAGTCTCCGTCAACTGGGGTTCGAGGAGGGGGCCAAGCAGTTGAGTCGCGATATGGATCTCGATGTTAAGCAGCGGGCGGTGGTGAGTGTGGAGCAGTTTGACAAGTTACTTAATAGTGGGAGTGGGGGAAGTGGTGGGGGTCGGAGCGGGTTTTCGTCGAGTACGGGTGGGTTTGGGGGTACTGGTGGTGCAGGTGGTGGAGGCGGAGAAGGGAGTGGCGGGTTGGGGGGTATGGGGAGTAGATTGAGTGGGTTGCATGGGTGGAGACATGACCCTAGAGGTTAGGGGATATTGTCATTGTTGTTGTTGCTGTTGTTGTTGTTTTTGTTGTTGTTGTTGTCAGTGGATGGGAGATTGTTTCTCCACAGTCATGTGTGCAATCAGTGTTGTTTGTGCTTATGTCTCGCGTCATGTTGTTGTTGTTGTCTCTCTATCCTCTTTTTTTTCCAAAAAAAACTATATACTAAGATTAAGCGTGTAAAAGTATAGGTTCTGGATAATGGACAAATTTAAAAAGTTATATTTTATTCCTTTTGACAAGTCATCTCGAACCTATATGTTCAAAATCCCCTCGTCCTCCCACACGAGTCTTTTTTTTTAAAAAAATAAATAAATACAAATACTTACACCCACTCCTTGGGCTTCCTCAACACCTCGAGCAACCTCTCCTCCCTACTCCCCTTCTCAGGCGCATGCATATACTGCCAGCGGGCCGTAAGTGGCAAGCTCATGAGGATACTCTCGACTCTCGACCCGGGGGTATTAAGTCCAAACGCGGTACCCCTATCATGTACAAGGTTAAACTCTACATATCTCCCGCGCCGAATCTGCTGCCACTGCTTCATCTCAGGCGTGAAGGGCATGTCCTTTCTGCGATTGATAATGGGGATGTAGGACGGTAAAAACGCAGCGAGGCAATCCTGGACAAATGAGAAGAGTTGCTCCTGGTCTTTCTCTGTTTCGTCGAGGTCGTCGAAGAAGATGCCGCCTACGCCACGGGTTTCGCCGCGGTGCTTGTTGTTGAAGTATTCGTCGCACCATTTTTTGAAGCGCGGGTAGTATGCTTTGTCGTGCTTGTCGCAGGCATTTTTGATAGTGTTGTGGAAGAGAATGGCATCTTCGTCGTAGAGGTATGAGGGCGTAAGGTCGCAGCCGCCGCCGTACCACCATGCGGTTGTGTTGCCGTGGTCGTCGGCGGTTTCAAAGTAGCGGTAGTTGAGGTGCACGGTGGGCGCATTGGGGTTGTGTGGGTGCAGTACCATGGAGAGGCCGGCGGCGAAGAAGGCGAGGGAGTCGACGTCTGGGTCAAGGGCTTTGTGGTTTACACGCATTTTCTGAATGGCGGCGCGGGGGAGGCGGCCATAGACGACGGAGGTGTTTACGCCGCCTTTTTCGAAGACTTTGCCGTCTTGCAGGACGCAGGTTATGCCACCGCCGCCTTCGGGGCGCTGCCATGTGTCGATTTTGAATTTTGTGCCATCAACCTTTTCGAGCTCGGCGACGATTTGTTTTTGCTGCTGCTTTATGAATTGCTCCATTCGAAGGCGCATGGGGGATTGTTCGGATACGCCATTTTCACGCTTGAGGAGAGCGTCTTTCTCGGCGATGGTGGGTGCTTCGGTCTTGATTGTGTCATCTGTCCACTGTGGAATGGATTAGTAGGGGCCTTTTCAAAGGGATGTGTATTGAATTATGGGCTTACCATAGAGTAGACCAGAGCTCCGATGAATGGCACAAAGAGCAGTCTTATCCGGTTAGGCCATTTGCTGGGTTCGGGATTGCGCCATTCCTCCAGAGGATCCGGCTTCTCTGGTCTGCTGCTTTGAGGGAGATCGACACGGCGACTCTGAGAGGAGTGTAGCTGCCTACTACATATTTGACTTGTGCGTAGGGTGCGCTGTGATGTGTAGTTGTGGGGAAGCTCGAGCGCGCGAGAAACGCGGAACAAGGGCCGGAACGGACGCATAGCGGGGGGGCGGGATGGTAGCAGGTTAGTTACAGTTGGACCATGAAGCAGCACAAGAGAGGATGAATTAGGCTATATTAGAAAAACTGTGAGCACAGTCACCCTCGGCGCTGACCTCTCGGGAATCACACCATGGTGGGCGCACCTTCGGTGGAGTTTCCTTGGTACTAGCGGTATCGGTACCTGCATGATGCAAACACGACAAACACGTCTCTAGCAGGCACAAGTACGAGTGTGAGCACTATACGGCTGGCAATGCTCGGACGTTTGCGCTCAGTCCCTGCGTACTGCCCATGTCTCGGGCGTCTTGGGGAGTGAACGGCGAGTGGTGCCCTAGACACTCACAAACAATTCCTCCGATCTAAATATATGTGATATGATCCGTTCACCATGCTCGCACTGCATTATAGATACGTCTGCATCTGCTACGTTGCTGGCAACCAGCCTGTCAATTTGGAAAAGCAGATAGACGTTGGCTTGCATGACGTCCTGGGACACCTGGGAAAGAAGCACTTCTTAGTGCTTCGTGGTGTCCAGTGCTGGGGCGGACACGTCGCTGTGAGTGGCAACAGGTGGGCGTGCTAGGCCGGCATGGCCGCCAACGCGACGGCAAACACGTCCACCTGGCTGCTGGCTGCTTCACATAGCAATCGATTCTGATGTGGCGAGGAGGTACCTCATTACCGTACTGTACATGACGATGGCCGCCTTGCGCGCGCGCGCGAGAGAGAGAGAGAGAGAGAGAGAGAGAGAGAGTGAAGGAGAGAGACGGGATGAGTCAAAGTACCCAGGTAGCCAGGTCATGGGAGCCGAGCAAGTGACTGGGCTGGAGTGAGGCGGTCAGCACTGCCATCCAGACGAGTCACGCCCCGGCTTCAGCAGCAGCAAAAGGGCGATGCTGTCATGGCTCAGGGGCAGTGAATTTGTGTAGTAAGTGTGCAGGTATATACGTATGTCTGTGTGGATGTGTGTATGGAGGAAGTCTCACTTGACTGGTAGGTGAGATGCTGGTCGGGTGCGTGGTGGCCAGTGACCAGTGACCTCGGCGGCTGCTGGCGTTGGTTAGGTAAGGCGGGAGTGATGCGCAGGTATTAGCCCCGCTCTGCTGCCTGTGCTTAAGGTTCCCACACCGCACCTACGCCCTCCATCCTACTTCCTCCTCCGCCACGCTCAACCTCACCACTCCCACGACACTACGCCCTTTGCGAAACTACACATATAGCCCCTCATCCCCACTCACAAACACACAAACACACACACATCCACACACCACTGACAAACTCCCACCATGCGTTCCAAGTTCAAGGATGAGCACCCGTTTGAGAAGCGCAAGGCCGAAGCCGAGCGCATTCGCCAGAAGTACAACGACCGCATTCCCGTACGTAGACATCGCCTCGCTCTCAGCCGTGACAAGTCAGCTAACAGCGCCTAGGTTATCTGCGAGAAGGTCGAGAAGTCTGACATTGCAACCATCGATAAGAAGAAGTACCTAGTACCCGCCGACTTGACCGTAGGCCAGTTCGTCTACGTGATCCGCAAGCGCATCAAGCTATCCCCTGAAAAGGCCATCTTCATCTTCGTCGATGAGGTCCTGCCACCCACTGCCGCTCTGATGAGCTCGATATATGAGGAGCACAAGGATGAGGACGGTTTCCTGTACATTACGTATGTTGCCTCCCAACGCCTCCTGTCAAAACTCATTGCTAACAAGATGACAGGTACTCGGGCGAGAACACGTTTGGCGAGGCTCTGTAAGGGGCTCGCTCCATCCTCATATTCCCCTTATCTATCGGCTGTCGAGGCTACGGCGAACTCGGGCGTTTTCGGATCATGGGTTTCTTGATATTCACGCAACAGTATACCGTTAGGATGATTGATTGATTTGATGGCAGACAGCTGGTGCAACGGCAACACTCGCAGCACCCTGGGCCAGTCAACCTTCACCAGAGCCTGCGAGGACCGATACAGCTAAGCCGAGGCGGAAAGGCACGATGACAAGTCGTATCTGTACAAGCAAGATTCGCCGTTTCGGAGAGAGGTGTTTGGGCAGGTTTGGCTTCTTTTCATGAGATGCCTGTATAATTCGATGATTCAGCTTTAGTCCAAATGCACCAGACCTGATCTGTCACGACTTGATGCACCTGTTTATGCTCTGCGACATTGTCTTGTATATTCCCGTGAACGTGCCTGACTATGCGTACCTGACAAAGCAGCCTGACTTGCGGCTCATCCGGCCGTTGTCTGAAACCCACATGACGACATCGCTCACCTGATAGGCAACCGCGTGCCATCACAGCCCCCCCACCAACATAGCCACGCTCTGTACGTACCCAGGCGAGAAGCATGCAAATGCAACATGGAACAGCCGCCATACAAGATAAGGGGAGTTTCCGTGCAAAATTAGCCCTTCTAGTGCCTTGCATAACGTATCGCCCGGAACCGGGGAATCGTGGGGAAAAGCAAAAGGGCTCCAGAAGCCGGACCCGCGCACGGACCCACTGTGCCCAAATGCAGGGCCGGCCAGCGGCGGTCGGTGGGTGGGGATCTTTGGAAAAGATTCCTTACTTACCCCGACCTGGCAAAAGAAGAGAGAAGTTTAAAATAACCTACTTACATCAACCAACGGGGGCTGTCCGAAAGTTTAAACCTCTTTCCCTAAAGGCTTACACGCCTCGAGTTTGTTAGCTTGGTGTTCTTTTCTACGCCTGTGTATCCGAACTTTGAAATTTGGAAAAAGTGCAAACGCATAGAGAGAGAGAGAGAGAGCTATGCCGGCGCAGTATATAATATCAAAGTATGCCTCCCTCTTCAAAAATATTCACTCTGAAACAACGCCTATTATTTATTTAATTGTTTTTTTTTCGGCATACTTACTAACCGCTTAGACGCCTCGACCCCCTCTTTACAATCTCAATCGGCCTCGCCGCTGCTGCAACTCGGATTCAGCGCGAAGAGAGGGAAAAGGGGAGGGATGTGCGGCAGAGTTGGGAGGTGCTGAGGAGGAGGTGGGGGATCTTTTTGAAGGGGGAGGGAAAGGTGTAGATTAGAGAAGGAGGGGAGGAGGGGGAAGGGGTAATTGTATGATTATTTTATACCCCGTTTTGCGGAGTTTGAGGATCACGGGAAATGGAATGGGAGGGATGGAGGAGTGATCTAGGGTGGATGAAGAAGTTTCGCGGGTTGGATGGGTGGGTGGGCGTGCTGAGGTTACTCCGCTCGTGGTTTCTCTTTCCAGTGTGCATTCCTGTTCATCCTCTATATAAAGATGTGGCACTATCTCAGTTTCCATTTACATCAAAAGAACTTCTGGTACCCAAATACTCGATACAACTGCTGTAATCGGATAGAACGCCAAAACTAAGGTGCTCTAGTTGTGAGCAATAGGCTGGCTGAATGAACAGTGACATCAGTAATTGAACTCGGGAAACTCGCCACTACACGCTTGAATGAGATTGCTCGGGGGCGTTAGTATATCTCTCAAAAGCGTCTTGTGGTATATTAATTCAGATTACAGTTTGGCAGTGTTTGTTATTGCCGCAGTACTGAAAGGTCAGTCTTATCTGAATCAGACTGACCCGGATCACATGATCCGTCCGATCTTTTGAACCAACTGATCTTATCAGATGGAGAAATGGTGGATCAGTTAAAGGCTGGGATAGATCACCGAATGGAGTTAGGCTTAGATTTACAGTACATAGTCTGACTGTTCTATTAATCTTAATCACCAGATTGATCAGTCCATCATCTCAAAAAAATACCATTTGTTCAAAGTTCTCTCAGCTTTAACAGTTATAACTAGCTATCCAAAGTACGATATAGATAGGGTCACAATGCAACCAAGACTATCGACAGCGTGTACTAGCCAACTCTTCAGAATTTCGATGTTTTTCATAGTGCCAACAGTACGGTGATCTGATTTAATAAACCGTCCACAAGAGAAGCGATACGAGACACGTGATGCTTAGACGAGTGAGTTATTGAACTAGATACTATTTATCGGTAATAGTTTTCGATTATAAGTAGTTGTATAGTGTATCTCTCTTAATTAAAGACTTGGAATGTCCTATATCTACAGCAGGAAACACCTAAAGCTCTTTCTCCCCCTCTCTCTCACTCTCTCACTCTTCTTCTCGTGATACATAAACTCTAGTGCACACACCTAGGATCCTAGCGCAACTAAGAAGCTATTTCTCTTACGAAATTATTTCTCTAGTAAAACAAAGGATTAAAAACTGTGTGTTGTGTAACATCACACAAAATCACCTTATCTTACCCAGCTTCCGCGGCCGAGCTAACTACCATCGCCACCACCAGCTGAGAGTAATATCAGTCAGCTTCATTTTTTTTTTTTGCGTGATATGCAGCTGGCTCTTTTCTCGTGTTCTTTTGATACCAACCGCGGCCGTTGAGTTTATTCCGCGGGTGAGATAGAAGTGAGTGGTTGTAGCTTGAATGAAATAGGGAAGTGAGAGAGTTAGGTAATAATCTTCTTTTCAGAAATGCTGTTCACATTGAGATGGCTGCGTCTAATTACTCCTGAATAGCTGTAAGCTTCACTACTAAAAGAGAGATCAGTACAAGTCTTCTCACTAAACGATAGAATATCACATGTTTTGCGTTTGGTGTTGTTTTCCTTTACTTAAAGTATTTTATTTGGTATGTCACTTAAAATATGACGATAAACACCCCGCAATTTGATTTCGCTACATTGGGGTTACCAAGTACGTACAAACAAATCTGTTCGTTATCAAGGAAAGCTCAAAGATACTGCTAATAGTACGCTCGAGGACAAACGTAAGTTCACATCGTTATGCTAATGTGGTTATAGACTTGACATTCAACTTCGGAGTCGCAAGTTCATCTTCCTTTTTCTTCTGACGTCTTTCATTAATCATTCTGCATTTGTCTTCAGTATAGTGAATTTGGGTAGTTGGCTAACATTGTTCTAGAATGCGAGCGGAGATCGCGGCGGAAGACGCGGCGGTGGGCGTGGCGGCGGCCACCGCCGTCGTCGTCGTCATAAGCAGCCTTCAAAACGCAAATACCGTTTGTAAGTCAAACGCTCATCATTTTTGTAGTTATACTGATAGATACTAGCTGCCTAAAGTTTGGCCATGTCGCATCGAAGTGCCCCTCGGGGCAGCCCGTCTAAGGCGGGCTGGGAGTTGCTGCCCCCAGGGCTCTCCCATCGTCGCCCTTCGGGGCGTATAGTCTTCAAATAGTCAAGCCCAAGTTTTCTTCGATGCCGCAGTTGCTGCCGCAGCCAGAGACACTACAGACTCCTTGTCGACCGATACTGCGCCTCGCACCCGCTCCCGCGCCCGCTCTCTCTCACCTCAAGACTTCTACTACATTCAATGAGTTGGTGGAAACAATGAATATTTGTCAAAATAGAGGGTTTCAGATGATGTAATTTTGGAAGAATTTTAGAGTTTTTCAATTTACGATCATACAAAAAGAAGGCGGGCCGTGTCATAGCGGGGGGTCCTTCCAGCCCCTAGAGGTGTAGCTTATTAAATTAACTCTACTAAGATAACGTATACTATATTTTATCTATAATAATCTATAATAGAATCTATCTAATAAGCTAACTTTTTAGAACTAAGAAAATAGTAAGTATATCTTACTATTAGTTATAGTACATATTATTTAATAAAATCTACTTACTAAGAGTGTAACGGCGCAGGCAAGACTACTCGGATCAGTATCGGCGGTAGTGTCACTCAGAGGCATATGGGAGTGCGTGGGACATCAAACGAGCCTTAATTCGAATAGACACCTATAGGCCTTGTACGAAAGGATATCAAAAATCTATCGAGCTACGGTATGGAGAAGGTGGGGTTTTATATCAGCAGATCTGCCCTCGGCTAGTGCGTGCCCATGTTCGGATCCCTTTCGGATGTTAGTTCAGTGTGTACTCGAACCGTTACAAAGAGTAATAAGTATATTACCTATATTTACTAGATTTGCTAATTAACTTCGTTAAGTCTTAGCCCCTTTTTGAAAGGGCAAAGCTTGTAATATATTAAAATTCTATTTTATACTGCCTATAACCCGATAAGGTGAACCTTCTATTAGATCAGCACCTTATTAAACCCTCTATTCGAAAACTATTTATATATTCCAATAACACTTCACTCAGCATCGTGAAACCAACCAAGTAGGCCTAAATCTAAAGATGAAACGGAGCGGGCGTATAACGGAGCAGAATCGACAGTGCCGGTTGGTATGGTGGTGGCAGTGGTGGTAACAGTGGTGGTGACGGTGGTGGGGGCTGTGGTGGGGGCTGTGGCGGTGGCTGTGGCGGTGGCAGCAGCAGCAGCAGCAGCATCGAAGAAAAGCTGGGCTGCAGTGGTGTACCTCTGCTTCGAGCGATCATCCGGATCTGAGACCAAGGTTGTGTCCTTGTCAACAAAATCAATGGTCCACTGGACAGGCTGCGTTGTGTGGGTAGAGAAAGGAAGACTGAGTCGCTCTTATGACTTGACCATCTTATATCCATTTGCTATATAGCGTATCAGATCATTTATCTCATAAAAGAATAGCAGGCCACACCCCAACCTGCCGGAATCGGAGTCACTCTCATACCCTGTGGAGAACCCGAGGCTTTGCGACACAGGTAGCACTGCCGAGCTTGGTTGGCGTTGATCTTCATGCACATACTGGTCATGTACTGCGGAGAGGTAGGTATGATATGCTTGGCATAGAGCCCTTGTGAAGCCATGCCGATATGGATATCGCCAACAAACAAAAAAGGTGAGGATATGAGGTGTCACTGTCTGTGGACGAAGGGATCCGGATCCATCCATGGCCTCGTTATGATGATAATGATAGGAGAGGCATCATTGCCCAGCCCGCCTTAGACGGACTGCCCTAGAGGGCGCTGTCCAAGATGAGATTGACGAGTCTATGGAATGTGGGCGCCATGCTTGCTGCCCTTGGTGTCGGGCTTAGTAGGACGACGTTCTTCGAAGTCAACGATGATGCGGGTATCGTCACAATCTAGGTGCTTGCTAGACTATGCAAGCTTTGCCCTTTCAAAAAGGGGCTAAGACTTAACGAAGTTAATTAGCAAATCTAGTAAATATAGGTAATATACTTATTACTCTTAGTAAGTAGATTTTATTAAATAATATGTACTATAACTAATAGTAAGATATACTTACTATTTTCTTAGTTCTAAAAAGTTAGCTTATTAGATAGATTCTATTATAGATTATTATAGATAAAATATAGTATACGTTATCTTAGTAGAGTTAATTTAATAAGCTACACCTCTAGGGGCTGGAAGAACCCCCCGCTATGACACGGCCCGCCTCCTCCTCGAAGCTCCTCCTGCCGCCCCCTGAAGAGTGTTGAAGCTGAAGGCCGAACTTCAACGTTGATGGCTGAGATTAGCCACCCAAATACTTCTGATGTATATACTATCCCACTGTATATAGTTAATCAATGAATCCATTGTGCAGCATATATGAAGTCCTCCCCTGATCACGACTACACGGAGTGGGGTGAGGGTGGAATACATGGGTGTTTATTATGACAACTGTTTATAGAATTGCAGGATAATCACATCGTGCTCAAAAAATCAAAGAGCGCGACTCGCAGTTGCTGAGATAGAAGTAGTTGAAGAGTATAGGCTGTTACGGATAAAGCATGGTTACTATGACATGGACAATAGAAAACATTCAGATGGAGACACCCTTGAATGCCTCAATACCCCCGCCAAGGTCGAAATGTTACTCACCGCTGAAAGAATGACTTCTTGATTATCATGTACTACTGCGAAGGTCATATGCGCATGACGTAATCGAGAAAGTTGAGCGTGTCGATGCATTCGTTCGACCACGATGCTTGAACATTCAGGAAGGAGTCGAGACCCATGAAATCGAGTGGCGAGTTCAGTGAACATGGATAACGTGCTTGTTGCCATTGGCGACGGCCCTTTCCCTTATCGAGGTTAACGACAACAGAGAATCGGAAAGGCACAAGCAACATTGATAATGCGTAGGCTGGAAACGTCATTGGTTGAACAAGAAAAGCTGATTCTTCATCTAAGATAGACTACAGGAAGCCGCATGTCAAAACATTCGCTCATAATCCCGAATTTTCGGATGTATATCTTTTGTACAAAGTGAGACTACCAGCGAACTGCCCTAGACACAATGGCCGACTCTTCACCCACCACAAAAGTCCGTCTATGACTTCTCGAGATCAGCGAGAATCTTCTCTCCCTTGGCGCGAGCGGAAGCGAAGTCACCAACCATGTAGAAAGCACCTGTAATTGTTAGCTCAACTTGAATTTATGCTTGCAGATGGTGGAATAACGTACCCTCGGGAAGGTCATCACCCTCACCAGACAGGATAGCCTTGAATGAGTTGATGGTCTCCTTGAGGTCGACAAGCTTGCCCTCAATACCAGTGAAGACCTGGGCGACAGCGAAAGGCTGGCTCAGGAAACGCTGGATCTTACGGGCACGCTCGACGGTAAGCTTGTCAGCTTCCGACAACTCGTCCATACCGAGAATGGCAATGATATCCTGGAGCGACTTGTACTCCTGGAGAATCTGCTGGACACGGGTGGCGGTCTGGTAGTGGTCGTCACCAATGACACGGGGGTCCAACATACGAGACTTAGAGTCAAGAGGGTCGACAGCGGGGTAGATACCCAACTCGGAAATACCACGGGACAAGACAGTGGTGGCGTCCAAATGGGCGAAGGTGGTGGCGGGAGCAGGATCAGTCAAATCGTCAGCGGGGACGTAGACAGCCTGGACGGAGGTAATGGATCCCTTGGAAGTGGTGGTAATACGTTCCTGCATGACACCCATGTCAATGGCGAGAGTGGGCTGGTAACCGACGGCAGAGGGAATACGACCAAGCAGAGCAGACACTTCGGAACCGGCTTGAGTGAAACTGTAACCTATTAGCCGAAATGCCGCGGAAAGAGTACAGTTTCTAAATTACCGGAAGATGTTGTCAATGAAGAGGAGCACGTCCTGGCCCTCCTCTCGGAACTTTTCTGCTACGGCGAGACCTTGTAGGTGTTAGCAAAGATGTTTCTTGAGTTATCATCGTAGTGCATAGTAGTGAGGGAATGAAAGGAAAACCTAGGTGCAGCTGCCAGTGCGACATATGAGAATAAAATGGAAACATGAAAGAACATGACGTCGTGTCCGCCAGGGTGCATTCTGGGATATTGATATGCTGATAGAAAAAGCCACTTACCAGTCAGAGCGACACGGGCACGGGCACCTGGGGGCTCGTTCATCTGACCGAAAACCAGGGCGACCTTGGATTCACCGTCGAGTTGAATGACCGAGGTCTCCTGCATTTCGTGGTAAAGATCGTTACCCTCACGGGTGCGCTCACCGACACCAGTGAAGACGGAGAAACCACCGTGGGCCTTGGCGATGTTGTTCTGTCTCCTCGTTAGCAAATGCCGACTCTATAAGCATTGCATGTTCTTACAATCAGCTCCTGAATGAACACAGTCTTGCCGACACCAGCACCTCCGAAAAGACCAATCTTTCCACCACGAGCGTAGGGAGCCAAGAGGTCGACAACCTTGATACCAGTGACGAGGACCTCAGCGGAGGTGGACTGCTCGGTGAACTCCGGGGGGTCGGCGTGGATGGAAGCGTAGGTATCGGTCTTGATGGGACCACGCTCGTCAATGGGGTCACCAGTGACATTCATGATACGACCCAAGGTGCCATTTCCGACCGGTACCATGATGGGGTTACCAGTGTCAACGGCCTTGGCACCTCGAACGAGACCCTCGGTACCATCCATGGCAATGCATCGGACGATGTTCTCACCCAAGTGTTGCTGTGCTGGGTCAGTCCTTCCTGTTTCGGGTATTGAATGCTTGGCGCCCTTACAGCGACTTCGAGGACCAGCTTCTGGTCACCGTTCTGAGTGGTAATGGCATTGAGAATAGCAGGAAGCTGCTCGGTATCGAACTTGACTGGAATTCATCGTCAGCGGATTCGTTCACGATGCGAATTGCAATGAAGCCTTTCCATCTACACAGGAAAAACTTTTCGCAGCGATAGTAAATGGAGCGACCCACCATCGACGACTGCACCAACTACGCTGTGAATCTTTCCCTCCTTTACTGCATCAGTAGAGGCGAAGCGGGTTGATAGAGCGGGTGCGAAGCTCTTCTTCATGGGCTGGAATGCGCTGCGGCGGATGGCGGGCCTGCGCATGGAGGCGCGGAGCGCCTGCTGGATCCCACTATCGGAATTGGCGTCAGCCCATCTCAATTCATCGTCAATTGGTATCAGTGGGCAGTCGGCTTACCTCTTCAGCATTGTGAGACGTGTGATGGACGTGGTGGTGAGTGGAGAGAGGGTGGTTGTTAGAGGAAAGAGCTTCTCAAAGCTCGAGAGGAAGGCACGGAATGGGTCCGTGCGTCGCCTAGTGCCCACCCGGTTAACCCCAGCACTGCATACATCATCTCACCTCTGATTTCACCCTCAATTGACAAGGACAACGCTTTGAAGAATGTCGGTGAATTCGGTCTCTCTATTATTCTTGGCGCCATTATTAGGAGCTCTGATGGCGCGCATTGCCTCGTCTATATCTCAGGTCTCTTGAGCACTATACATTGTGGATTTTTTTAGTGCAGAAGGCTACGAAGTATTGCAAAAGCATACGCTATATGGACAGAGCAATTGATAATTTAGATACAGGATTAAATATTCGAACAAACTAGTGATCAGATAAATAGTTCTATGACCTGATACTAGTAAGGTAAATACTAGCAATCTTGTAGCAGTATGCTAGCAAGTGCTCAAAAGGAAAAGTGACATCAGCGTTGTGGGTGACAGTAAACAGAGTAAATGGGAAGTGAAGTGAGGGGAGGGGACAATTGTAACTTGGTGCGTGTTGTGACTTGGAACGTATTACCACTCATGGTGCCAGTTGGGCTTGAGTAAGAAAAGTGAAGAGAACAAAGACTCGGGGAAGGCCTTTTTATGTCTGGCATTTAGCATTTACGTTAGCGCGATGATGTCGATATTCTGCCTGGCCTCCTGCCTCAAACACCACTCCCCACCTTCTCAATCTAGGCGGATTTCGAGATTCATACGAATTTCCATCCCTATATTCGTGGTATTGCTCGATCCTCATAATGTACGCTTTTTCACTACTCCTTCACCTAATTTGTTAAGAAGTCTTTGATTTTTAACCGTGCCTACATATATAGAATTATCCTAAAACCTGCATACCTCAATGGTATGTGTATTATATTGACTTTGAATCTCTCCAAATTAACAAGTAAAAGAAATATCTAATTCGTAAAGAACAATTCAGTATCAAATACAAATCCTTTTCAACTTTTTAAGCTATTTGTTATGCGTATATACTATGCAACTCTAGGTACTACTATGCAGTACACTGTATCTTTTTAGGCCGCGTGGAGCAGTGAAGCTGAGCTGTCGTCTTACACTATTACAGTAAGATTGCGCTTGCTCTACCAGGCTTCACTATGTAAGCACAATATATATTTACGTGCATATTTTCATAGTATAGAGTTCTAGATACATCCTGGACAAGCCCAAACCCAACAGAAAGAAAAGCAAAGACTCGGCAGCTTTCCCGGGTCTGTACCCCCTACTTCTTTTCAAAGCCATCCCAGACAAAGAAAAAGCACCCCTACCAGAGTTTAAGAAAGCCTAGAAATGACACACAGTACACGTGTCCAAAGCGGGAGGCGGGCTCGATGCATACATCGACACAGGATTCAAAACCTACCCTTTCAGCGAAACGCCCCAGGTTTCAAAGGGTATTAACCGGGCTACAACCATGGACTTTGCTTTCAGGTCAAAGATTATTGTTCTCCAGCTTCATGCGGATATTATTCGAACCGGGAAGTCACTTAAGTGGAACGGCGATCCTAAGATTATCAAAGGTAAAAAGGATATTTCTGGGAACAAGATTGTTCTCCAGCGAGGCGATATCATCCGGAACAACTTACTAAAGATCAAAAAGTCCCAAGTCCTGGGGAAATATCCAAAGGACCTGGAAATAGCCTTGAGGGAACGCCGAAAGACTACGTCAAGGTTTAATTCCAACTCTCAACGAAGAGGAACTCAAACGAGGGTCCACTTCGATGTCAAAGAAAGATACCTAGAAGCCAGAAATAAGGCAAAGCCAGGGAAGACAGTACTCCAACACCAGAAAGCGACGCCGCCACGCTAGCAAGAAAGAAGGCCAAATGGGGTGAGACCGAAAGACCGCACAACGAGCAGAGTACCCCAGGAGAACTCGGGCTCAAGTTACTCCCTCCAGTCAAGCAGCAAGCACCACCCACGAGAGAATCGCTCCAGAAACCCCCAGTTCAGTCGTCACTGAACAAGAGAAAGATTCAAAAATATTCTCTAACTCAAGAAGAGCGGCTCAAAGCCAGGAGAAACCCCAAACTCAGCGGCGTCACCACCAAAGCCCATTCCCCCCCAGCCAACCACACAACCCAAGCCCGTTCCTTCCAAGCCGACGGCGTCCAACCCCGTGGATCAGCCTGTCGGCCAGACCGACAGCATTCCGCTTGAAGTAAAAAACTACATGGGTGCCCAATTCAATGCATTCATGTCAGCCAAGTTCTAGGAATTCAATGGCAGCCCAGACTTAGGCACTTATGTTCCCTCAATTTCCGGCGAACCACCCCCAGACCCAGGATACAGCTGGTGAAAACCAGGAGGCGGAGGAATATTACTCCAACACCGGTTAAGATAAACCAGAGGGCGGTGGGCAATATCACATAACATTTCTAGTAGGTAGAAATATCCGGAATCCTCATGATTCCGGGTACCTTATATGAATTCCACTAAGATTCCTGTGCATTATTCTTTACTCATGACACTAAACACTATACTTACTTAAGAGTTTATTCGCGCAAGAAATTCCCCACCAAAACGTTTTTTTACAGCGAGACATTCTAATACCTACGTAATAATTTGGCTTCAAATCAAGATGTATTGTATATATCTAAATAGTGAAGAGTACAAATCAATTCTATTATATAATGCTCAAATTATACCTCGGTAAAGTTGAAAGAAAATAATCATAAAAGTTTGGCTTTTATATAACTACAAATATTACGAAACTAAACTTCTTTCGCTTAAAGATTATCGTACTCTACAAAAGCGATGTTGTCTGCAACGACTTGACATATCTAGGGATTATTTCGATCCCTAGGCGGTTAACTTATGAAATTTAGTTACAATAGTTAATGAAGAAGAAATTAAGATAGCGTCTTTAGCACTAAAATTTCTCTCCATCTTCGAAATAACAAAGAAACTTATTTTCTAACACTCAATGTTTCTTTAGAAATCGGATTTCTTTTTAGTTTTAGAGAGAGAAGAGTAAACTCTCGACCTTACAGATTCCTGAGCTTTGTAGCAAAAGAGTATTTCTGAAGAAAAACCACTGCGCTACCTCTCTGTCGCACTACATAATCTTCAATTCTACACTTAGTTAATAAAGACAACTTTCAAATATGGCACCATATAACCTTTAATTACACACTTAGTTAACAAAGATAACTTTTTAAGGATCAAAGCGGATTTCAAAATCTTATTCAAAACTTTAATTCTACACCTGTGACTACTGGCCATAACCATGATAACACTAAACTATAATAAGAACTAAGATAGACCACCCAACGCCACGCTATGCATCACAAATGTACACTGGTATCAGCCATCGTTGAAAAAAAGCTACATCTAATAAGCCTTGACTTTCTTGCCCTCTCCATTCGTTCCAATATCGGCCTTCCTTTTTCCAAGCACAGAGTCTGGCGTGCCCGGCATCTCAATACCAATTCCCTTACTATACTCTTCAAAACACGTAGCATGGTACACTTTCCCGCCCACACACAGTGCGTCCATCCATACGAAATCATTCGCTTCCACGTTCCACTGTGTTTCAAATTTTTCTTGACAGATCGGGCATGGTGCTTGCTGGAGTGTCACATCCTGCGGAACGCTGACATACCGGTCCTTAGTCTGCTTCTTCGGCTTGGCCGCGTTGCTCCCTGAAGAGGGATGGCTGGACTGGTTGGGGGCGGTTTCGTCAAGTTCACGATATTCGATCCATTCCTTCTCAGGAATGTACCAGCTGCGATGTACACCTCGTTTGGCTGCATCTGGGTCCTTGACCTTGAAGTGCCAGTCCATGTGGCGAGCTTTCTTCTCTTTTCCCTCAGGCGTGCTCTCGAACCGGCGACCACAAGTGGCGCAGAGGTTGGGCTTGGCTTCATACAGATGGGAGATAAGGTGGAGACGGTGTTTCTTCATCGATGCGGTAGTGAGTTCAATTTGGTCCAGCAAGCCGACCGGCGCCACTGATTGTTCAGTTCCCTGCTGGAGTGCGTTGGGAACTCCATTCACATGTGTGGGACCAGATACACTGCTCAGGGCTTTGAGGAGCCACTCAGCACTACCAAGGGCTGGTGGGGGAGCTGCAGGCTGCAATGGAAGTTGAGATACAGGGGTGCTTTGAACAGGCGTAGGCTGAATTGAGGGTGGTGCGGCAGCAGGTTTGCTGAACTGGGCAAGCAACGCAGCCAAGTTGGTGGTTGGTGTACCAGACTGTGCTGGAGGAGCGGATTGAGGCGCGGGTACTGGGGTAGAAATAGGCGGCGGGAATGCTTGGAACGGTGGCTGGAATGGAGCTGAGGCAGGTACAGAACTCGATTGTGCAGGCGATGATACACGCTTCAACAATTCCGCTAGGTTCAGAACTGGTGGGGTCGGAGTTGGGGCAGGTTGTGGTGTCGACTGTGGTGGTCTGAAGCCCGCAAGAAGTTGCGCGACATTCGGTGGAACATTGACTGGTGAAGCACTCACAGCAGAAAACTGAGCAGGGTAACTGGGTGCCGCTGTCTGTTGCGGAGGATATACTGGTGTTGACGGTGCAAACGAGGGCGTTGGAGCGGGCGGTGCTAGGGCTCGAATCTGTTGACGTACAGCTTCCAGTTGTTGTGGCGGTAGAGTCTGTGTGTCCAAGATTTGCTTGAGAGATAAGAGCGCCGAAAGCTTCGTACGCAGGGCAGCATCAGCTGGGTTTTGAGCGAATGTGTTCTGTGTAGTGCTGATTAGCTGAGTGACTTCCGCCTTTAGTCCAGCCAAATCAATGGACGACATAGGCGAAGGGGGCTGCTGAGGTTGCGCGTAGGACACCGGGGGTGTAGGAGCATGTGCTGGAGGTCCATATTGAGGGGTCGATGGGTATGACTGCGTTTGCGCTATTAGCATTTGGTAGTATCATCACAGGGATGAAGACTTACTGGTCGAGCACGCGGGTCATTGGGGGCAGCATAACGGGGACCACTCTGCGGCGGCGTAGATGTACCTCTCCAAGCCACGTTGAGCGATGGAGGACGAGGCGGAAGCGCATGTTGCGGCCGGACCTGCTGTTGAGCTGCATGAAACTTAGCCAGTGCGTTCTCGATATCTTGCGTCACGTCGGCTGAGAACACTGGGCGTGGATCCATAGACTCGGGCACAGGCATCTTCCACGTCTTGAGCAAGCCTTCCATATTCTTGCGGGTGGCCTGGTCCATGACCAGATAAGCATCCATGAATGTTCGGTACAGGTTGCGACCGATGTAGACAGTATATGGGGTTCCGACATTCTTGACAATGGAATCAAGCACGTAAAGAGCGGGAAGCTTCCATTCAGGACGAGTCTATTGCAATCAGTCACTAGTATCAAAAGCATAACGGAAAACGAGAGGAGAATATGAAATCACTCCATCAAGTAATGTATCCAAGACTCACCGATTGGATATGTTTCTGGAGCTCATTGGATATAGCTTCAGCGTATTCTGTATTCTCTTTGGCGATGAGGGTTAGATTGCTAATCTCGGGCCTGCTATTCATCCTCAAATCTTGCAGTGCGTCCCGAAAATCGGCTGCTACTTCAGCTGCTGGGAGAGACATAATGGGCAAGGATGCTTTGGGTTAGAGCAAGAAGAATATGTGCTGTGTCAGGGTGTAATGTCGCGCGCAGAGGACAGGGTAAGCGGCTCGCGTTTCGATCAGAAAGTACCAACACTGCCAATGTCGATGCCAGATGAACAAGATAGACAATATGCTTCCTCGCTCTCGACGAACACACGTAATGACAGTGCTTGTTGATACTAGCTATGGCCGCGCCAAATGACGCAGTGTAGACTGCGCCGGTACAGCTAGGCAGTAACAAACTCGCTCTCCCCCAGCTACTGCAATCCTCCTTATGTCTGTATCCTCCCTCCTTCAATCCAAGTGTCTGGAAACAGTGCGCGACTGCTGTGCGGTCGTCAACAAGACCCTGGAGCGGTTCACCAGCGATGTTGCGATAACAACGCCAAGGTCTGTAAAAGGTGCTGCCGGTATCGTGAGCTGCTGCTTTTTACGAAGCAGTGGTAAGATTCAAGCGTCTTTTGTGTGAATTACTCGTTGCGCTGATTTTAGTGGATGGCGTCGTGGGCCTGAGGGCGGTGGTCAGGCAAGAGAGAGTAGGACAAAGACGGAGGGCAACGGCTCAAGGCGTTGGCAGCAGCAAACCGCGAACCAACCCGCGCACGGACGCCACCTGTTGGGTCCATGCCAAGACCGGCCTCGGCTGAAAGTATTGCCGCGCGTCATGGGCAGTCGCGCTCCCTCTCCAACTTTCCTTTGAAGGTCATTCTGACTACCATTCGCGCCCTCCACCACCTTTACCGCGATCAAACCTATCGAACGCCCACCAAGAACCGGCGCTATCGGACTGGTACCAAACTTGGATAAAAACAGATCCAATAGACACGATGGAGGACGTCGAGTTTACCAAGTCGCATTCGCGATCGCCGCTACCTGAAGCTGGCAACGACCCAGCCGACCCCTTGCGCCCTGAGATCGACGAGGAGAATTCCACTCCAAACCCTCCAATCGGAGACCCAGACCAAGATATGGAGGTGACGGAAGACCGACACGGAGACATGCCTGACCAGGATGATGTCGAAGCTGGCTTGTCGGACAACGAGTCGGTTCTTTCAGAGGCACTTAACGATGACCAGATGGACGAGCAATTTGGCGACTTTGACATTGACAATGTTGCCATCGATGAGCGTCCGGCCCAGATCATTGATGAGGACAATGTCAAGCAGATTGGTGTACACAAGCGCAAACGCACTGCAGGTGAAGGCGAGGAGCCCAAGAAGAAGAAAAAGAGGGCAGACAAGCCGCGTAGGAAGAAGAACAAGGATGGTGAAGAAAACGGAGACATTGCAGAGGGCGAGAGGCGGAGCAAGCGATCCAAGAAAGTAGGCAGAGTACGGGACGCAAGCCCAGAAGGGGACCCAGACGAGCATCTCACCCCAGAAGAACGTACGTATTGAGGCGCATGAATCGACTTTTCGCTCGTACTGACAGTTTTCTTAGGCAGGAAGAAAGCACTGAACGCCCAGATCGACAGCATCGTCAAGGGCAGCTCGAACCGCCGTCGCAAGAAGGATGGAATCGACCTTGAACAAATGGCCGACCAAGAAATCGAAGAAATGCGGCGTCGCATGGCGCAAGCCGCCGAG